GGAGGAGGAGGAGGAGGAGTGGGTCAGCATCAATGCAACATGAGCGCTCCAAGTGGGAAGAGGGAATGGAACTGTCAGAGAGAGAGAAATAGGAGACAGAGAGAGAGGGAGGGAGAGAGAGAGAGAGAGAGGGGGAGGGAGGGAGAGAGAGAGGGAGGCAGAGCCTGGGCCGTCCGTCAGCCCTCAGATGGAGAGTCAACAGCCCCCAGGTCTGGAGGTGGCTGATGAGGAAGAGGAGAAACAGCTGGGTCCAGTGCCTGACGGGCAGATGCGCAGAAGGCAGAGGAGAGGAGAACAGTGGAAATCTATGGGCCGGTCCTTGGGACAGAAGAGCCACTGCTGCTAAGGAAGCCCCACCCTAGCTCTGGGGATAAAAGGCAGGGGGCGGAGATGAATAGATGTGGCAGACAACTACCCATCTCCCATCCGGAAGGCCTTGTTAACCTGCATTTTGCGGGGGCTGCCGGCACTCCTAATTAAAGAAATCTTTGAGTTCACTTCAGAGGGTTTGTCGTGTTTGAGGTCCTGGGACAGGACACTGGGTCTGTAAACTGCTTTTTCAATTTTAAAACTTAGACCAGTGGTCCCTGATCTTTTGGATACCAGGGACCGGTTCCGTGGAGAGAGGTTTTCCCGCCGACCAGGGTGTGTGTGTGGTTTCATGGGCCGCCTGCATCCCATGGATGGGGCTTCGCTTGTTTGCACGGCCTGGTTTTTGGCATGCCGTGGCCCCCTGCCAGTCCACGGACCTGGGATCGGGGACCCCTGTCTTAGAGAGGGCTGGAAAGCACTGTGAAGCGGGACATAAATCTAAGCGCCGTTGCTACTGCTACTTACGGCTTCGTGTCCGCTTTGGGTTTTGGTGGGCAGCAGGAACGCAGGTATTTTGCCAGCAAAACGGTCAGATAGCCGAGGAACCCCAGTAGCAAAAAGCTTCCAATGACCATGAAAAATGGCACATACCAAGCCGATGAAGCATAGACGTTTTCTTTGCTGGTCACAATGGTCACACCAGGCTTGTAAGGGGAAAAAAAAGGGGGGGGGGGGGTTTGTTGGAAGCAAAATAGTTTCCCTAAATGGGTTCTAAAAAACGAAATTAAAAACCCAGCAGTCTCAAAAGAAAAATAGCAATAGCAATAGCAGTTAGACTTCTATACCGCTT